TTCAGCTGAGAGGGAATCGATTTCCCGAAACGGCAACGGCGCGCGGTAGATTTCCACGGATTTGTATATCAATGGGATTCCTGCAATCAAGTTAGAAATCAGCAAACAGAAATTGTAGAGAGAGAAAAGAGGAGAGAGAGAGAGAGAGAGAGAGAGAGAGAGGGGACCTAGGATGAAGGAGAAGAGGACCGAGACGGTGATGATCAGGCGCTTGAGTCCTGGCTTGGCTTTGCGCATCGTTTTGGGATCGAAGTCATCGGCTGGCGCTTGCGGTTTGGATGTTTGTGGGATTTCGCTGGGAGGGAGGAGAGGTTCTGTGATTTCCGCCATTGTTGTGGAGGCACTGGAGCGCTGAAGCTCTTGACTTGGAGTTGGAGCTCTTGGTTTACTGGATTCGAGCAATAGGGAGTCCAGAATTGGAGGTAAAGTAAACTCAAACGAATCAGTCTAAATAAATAACTTTGAGAAGTGTAGTCGCAAGTGCCGTCTTAGCTCAGCCGGTAGAGCGCACGGCTTTTAACCGTGTGGTCGTGGGTTCGATTCCCACAGACGGCGTTTTTTTTTTCATCTTTTTTATTTTCCGAGTTTTTATTTGGTGGTTTCCTCTCTTTTCATTTGGCTAGTGGTTTTAACCCTCTTCGTTTCGCCTTCTTTTTGTTAAGAGAAGTGCGGTGCATGACATGCATTGGATGAAATTAAGTGTTGAATAAAAAAAAATTTTAATTTTATTATGCTCCGTTGTATGGCATGCACCGATTAAATAAAGTCTTAAAACATGTTGCAAAAAGTTCAATGGCTACAAATATAGTGTATATTATACATCGATGGATACTAGAAAATCTCATTTCCTTTATGTATAGTAAGTAGATTGCAAACATATTGTCCAATTCAGAAGTCAATTTTTTGTTTCATCCAATTTCTCAGCCGTTTTATTTGCTTCAGCTTCTCCCTTAGCAACCCTTTCAGCTTGACTTCCAGAAAACTTCTTCCTAAAGAACTCCACATTTTCATCTTTCTGCGAAACAAGAAGTCAAAAACAATTATAATACACTTCGAAAACCGAAGAAATGGATACAAAAAATTATACATGAAGAAATATGTACTACCAATTCTTTGAACAAAGGCTCTGGTGTCTCAATCTTGTGAACAGCAGGTAATATCCAAAGGCTTTCTTGCCCTTTCAACATCCTTATCGCAAAGCAAAAACTGATTTTCGGTTGGCAAATTGAGCTGTTTTAGCACCTGTTGGACATGAAAAGCAAAATTACCAAGGTGGTAAATATTGAGTGAAATATTTTGTTTGTCATAATCGATGCAAGACATATTTTCCGTACCTTGAGAGAAAATGAAGGAATGAAAGGTTCCGGCAAGCACGCGAGAAGATAAATGAGTCCTGCAGAAGTTTTGATGACAAGAGAGCAGGAAGCTTGATCCTGTTTGTAAAGTTGCCAGAACTTGCTCTCCTGCATTAGATATTGGAAACCTTTATTCTTGAACGATTGATAACTCGAAGAAGAAAAACTGAGATTTTATGAGCTTACTTGTAAATATGTATTGCCTTCACTGGATACGCTCATTGCAATTTTCAGTGCTTGCTTTAGCTTGACCTATACATGTCGCCGATTGTGATATAATGTAACTTCTTAGTAAAACAAGATAGTGCAGAAAGGAATTGAGAGACTAGTTTTCAGATATAAATCACCTTCTCCATTGCTTCTATGTATTGATCAACATATATACCGATTCTCTCTGCCAATATTTTCGTCAAAGAATGTGATTCCGCCCCAGAAGCATCAGGAATAATAGATCCATATCCTTGTCCTGCAGGAAAAGGTGAAAGTTTACATGAATGCCAAAATGCAAGAGAGAGCAGACCACAGTACATAAATTTGATTGTGGTATGAAAACGTTAAATATAGAAACAGAAGTATAAGTTGAAACTTTAAATAATCAAACTTTTGTGAAGATATTCTCACGCACTTATGCATCATGTATTCTGTAACGCTAATGCTCTTCATCAGTGTCCAATTCTCTCCGGTTCCAAGAAGCGTACATGGAAACATAACCTGGAATCAAATTGTACTGCAAATAAACGTTTCGGGAACAAAATACAAAGTTACAAACTTCAGGCAGATGAGATGAAAACGTTACTGTGTGGAATGGGACATTGTCCTTGCCCATGAATTGGTACAGCAAGAAGTGATTGATATATACCCGATAGGCGCATCAAACCATACATAAACAAACTAAGCATATCATAATATTGGGAAAGAAAAAAGATTACCAACGTGTAAATTTCTAGTGAACAACTGAACTTTAACAAAGGGAAAATCGGCAATAGTTACATAAATTAAGTGCTAACCTTATCCTCAAAATTTTCAAGTGGAACTGGAACACCCCCCCTTAAGGTCCCTCGTGATACAACGCGACTTAAGTCCTTCTCTAACCCATGCATATGTAGTTTGTATAGCGTTCAGGCTCCAAGATCCTGCAACTGACTGGTCATTGATAAATTCGTCCAATTTTTCCTTCAGCAATGGAAGCTTTAGAAATAAGTGGTTCATCTTATGTATATATGGCCGTCCCTGACATACCTGTTGATTACAGTTTCAAGTACAAAACCAGGAAAGAAGATGTTAGTAATTTCGACTAAATCCTAACAAATTAACTGTAATGAAGTATGAAATCTCAAAGGCTGAACATACATTACATCTAAGATCCTTAAGCTCAGTTGGCTATAACAGCTTTCCACACTTATCACACTGATCTCCTCATGCAGAATCATAACCGCAGTCTAGCATTGGGCAAGTGCCTTCCACTAGCCGATCAGCCAAGAAATGATCGCATGTTTCACAAAACAGCTGGATGTCAAAATTCAAAACAATTTAGAAACAAAATTTTCACTTAAACAAGCAGGAAAGTGATACGTATATACCTGCTGAGTAGTGTTTTTTTGAAAAATATCCGTTCTCCATAAGTTTCTAGAAAATAGATTGTCAAATTTCAGTATGTTGAGGAGTTGACGTGGTTCCGAATTTATCAAAACTTATATCGAACCACTGGTAGACCTGTTTATGAATTTCATGATATCTACAAAACCAATTAAGCTCCATAATTAGTAAAAAGTTCATACTGCTATTCACTATCCGAAAAAGCATAACCTCCAAACTTTTGTCACAACTTGTCACAAATTTGCTGTGGAGTACAATTTTCGTCCTTAGCTTTTGTCTCAGTTGCAGTCCCATACTCATCAGTCCCACATATGTACATCACAATGTACCTGCGAAGGCGACACTATCGATAGTAAACATCCGCACTTAGAACACCTGCATCACGTTAATCTTTCATAAAACCTCAAAGTCTCACACATATGCACAACCTAGTCATGAAATTCACGAAAAGAAAAAAGTTTCTGGATACATGTAATGAGCCAAGTATTCTTTGATTTTTTATTTTTTGAAGGAAACTTGCTTGTAAAAATGGTGCCAAGAGGTCTCGAACCCCTTACCAAAAATGATGCCAAATATTGTCTGAGTAGATAATACAGACCGAAACCAAAACAAGCAAAGAGAGAGCAAATAGTTGGGAATTATACTTACAGCCACTGATGGTGCCAAGGCGAGGGATGTTGTTGACATAGGGCAAGGCGCTTGTGATGAGGATGTTGCGCTTCCCAGGGACCGGCAGCTTCGGGTTTTTTCCGGCGTTGCCTTCTCCGCCGTCTGATTGATCATCCATGGCTTGATCCGAGTACTCACAAGGAGCTTGTTCTGCGTGCAGAGCTGTGGCTTCACAGAATGTTGGTAGCTTTAATATTCACATAAGATTGATGAGAAGAAAAGTCCAACTAAATAATTCTCCAAAGTTTATGCTCAAACGAATCGGGGTTGCTTGGGAGCAAAGAAACTGAAAACTCTTTTGAGTCATGTTTCTATAAAAAGGAGGAGAACCGAGAGCACCAAGGAGATTCAAGTTCTTAGACGAACCCTCTAGTTTCTATCTCCCTGCACCAAGTTCTTGAGTCAAACAATTTAATCCCAGTGAATTGGTTCAAACTCAAAATGTTTTATTAATTCCCAGGTTTCAAATAAAATATAAGTTGTATAAACTTACGACAAAGCCCAAATAGTGCAAAAGAAATCCTTCCAAATTAATGAATTATTTTAATTTGATAACATAAAGGGTGCGGAAGGATTTGAACCATGGTCGGTTTGATTTCGTCAAGGATACCAAATTCTAGATGTAACGACAACCAAATTTGAATTCCTAATTCCAACCAAACAAATTTAAGCCAAACAGAATTTATGGCTCGGTCAAGAACAAATTTGCCCTCGATAGTTCAAACACCATATAAAAAAATTAAAAAATTAAAAAAAGTTCAAACACCATATGCAAATTTTTATCCAAATTACCATCACCAAAATCCCAAATGTCTCATTGCAATGTAAAAACAATTAATTTAGATAATATAATGGTAAAATAGTTTATGTTGTAAGAACTTTTTTATTTTTCTTTTTAAAATGAGATCAGCTGGTGACTTGGTCATGACAGTCCACTCTTTTGGAAGCCGAAAAACTCACAGAGGCATTGCAACCTTCTCTTGGCCACCTCCAAAGCTCTAGTACTATTGTAAGAATTTGCACTTAATACTACGGTCTAGTGAATTTGCACATAGTACTATTGTAGGTCCGCTTGTGGGTTGGCAATGGTTGACCCACTACTTGCCCTTGGATTGTTGGATAGGATTTTTTGTGTTGAAGGGCAATATTGTTACGTTTACCCTTGGCTTCCACCAACAGGTGAAAATGCTCTAAATAAGAGGTCTCAATTTTAAGTTTCATAAATAACGAGCTCGAATCTCATGAATTGAAAATTTTAATATAGAGTGTGATATTCACACAACATTTTTTACTTTTTACACCCTCTTTATTAATTTCTGTAATTTGATTTTCTTCAATTTATTTGACCAAGATGGTCAGAAATTAAGAAGATGTGTGAAAGGTAAAAAATGATGTTATATACATATGTCGGAGACAATCAAAAAAATTGAAAAAAAAAAGTAGGAAACAATCATCCCTCTTTTTGCAACGGCTGTAAACAGTAACCTGGTAAGCAATTAGCAGAGTTTGAAGTTTTAGCTTCCCATGCATAGATGCAGTTACTTCCATGGTCAACCCCCCTCAGAGCTCTCCTCTTATCCTGCACCGATAAGACCTCCATAGCCAAAGTCCATGCTCTTATGATATTGATTAGTATTACCGCCGATGGAAGCTCCAGTGCTCCACTCATGGCATCATACGAGGAGTAAATGTATGGAAGGCCATGATAGTCGCGTATTCTCGGCAAGATTACCCGTCTGAAGTTTGGAGCTTATATAGTCAGATGGTAGGGGATGGAGTTAGACCTGACAGCTTGACTTTTACTGCCTCCTCGCTTAAGGCGTGCGCAAGCACGTTGGACTTGGAAAATGGTGAAGAAATTTGGTATAAGGCGGTTGATTGCGGGTATGAATGTGATGTGTTTGTTGGATCATCCGTTTTGAGTTTGTACGCGAAGAGCGGGAAGATGGATGAAGCAGTGTTGGTATTTAAGAAAATGCCCAGAAAGGACCTTGTTTGTTGGACAACAATGCTAACAGGGTTTGTGCAGATTGGGAAGCCAATAGAAGCAGTTGAGATGTTTAGGGGCATGCAACGTGAGGGAATCGAATTTGATGGGGTTGGTGCAGGCTTGTGCAAATCTTGGGGACTTGAGACTGAGTCTTTCCGTTCATGGGTTTATGATTCGGAGAGGTCTTCGTATGGATGTTATGGTTCAAACCAGCCTTGTGCATACGTATGCGAAGAACGAACATTTGGAGCTAGCTTCTCAGGTGTTCGATATGATGCCTTGCAAGAATACTATTTCTTGGGGTGCTTTGATTTCCGGCTTTGCTCAAAATGGTTTCGCAGGGCGTGCACTCGAAATGCTGGTAGATATGCAGGGCAGCGGATTTGAACCCGATTTGGTGTCTCTTGTGAGTGCACTTATAGCGTGTTCACAAGTAGGGCTTTTGTAGTTGGGCAAATCCACACATGCATAGATCTTGAAAAGGCTTGATTTTGATGAAGTTTTGGGTACTGCAGCCATTGACATGTACTCGAACATTCCTTCGAGCAAAGACAATTTATCATATTGCTTTAACAAATTCAAATGCATCATGAACTAAAGCAAAAAGATGGACAGAGTGAATTACAAAATTTTCAACACCAACGGGAAAAATGAAATACTCCACCACCTCCACCACCTTTCCGTCATGAAGGACCAAATAATGACCATTTCCGGCAGGAGATGTTAGACCAGAACATCACCTGTAAGCAAAATAATTCTCAAAGTTCGAGTTGCGGCTGTGTTTCAAAATTACCTCAGCTCCTATAACCTAGAGACTGATTCTGAAGATTTTGGTTGTCTTCCAACAAGCGATCATATTCGAGAAGTAGATCTGCAGCCTGTTTCTGGAGGGAAGCAACATGGCATTCGGCAGTTTCAACGCTTTTATCTTTCTCCGCACATTCCAATTTCAGCTTCTTCAAATCCTCTGTTAGAGTTGAGATTTTGGCTTGCAGCTGCTTGACTTCTTGGGAAGCTTTCTCTTCCTTTTCTTTAAGTTGTATCGTCTCTTTTTGAAGCCTGTCAAGTTCTTCTTTTGAAGCTCCCACACTACCCCTCAATCCAATTAGCTTACTGAGATAATGGTGCATCCGATCAATTATGAATCCAAGAAATAGGGTAAAACCTGCAAGTACGATGAAATGCGGGCAATCAGGAATAGAAAGGATCATTCACTGGAATACAAACAGAAGTTCCGACATTAATCACAGAGCAGACACCGCACACGAATCACTACTTCCACTCGCCCAAGAAGACCATATAATCAACTTAAGCATTCCCTTTTTGGGCAAAAGTAAATACGTCTTCTTCAGAACATGATAAGTGACTGCTGAGTGTACAAGGCCAGTGAGGCTGGACTAGCAGCAACCACAAGGAATGAAGAGCGGCTTGTAAACCAGATTACTAACTTCCCATGTAAGGACATAATGCACCAACTGTCCAACCATAAGCCAGGTTTACATCATTTAACCATAAGAGAGAACAGGAAAGAAACCTGTAGCCAATCACATATATGACGGATGGTGGTCTTATGAAGCCAAAGTGAAATTTTTACTAATGAATGGATAATATCGTGTCATTAACATCCCTGATTTAGTTCCTTACATTGATGATGGTCAAACTGTAAATTATGAGGATAAAACTTAGGCGAACTTCATGATTCAAGTTGCACCAAAGTACTCCTTGTGCAGCACATAGATAAGTATGATAAATATCACATCCTAGAAGATAAATGCATGGAAATACTTGATTATCATTAAGCTAGTGCAGAGGAAATTAGATGAAAAACAGTGATATAACTTTAACAGGTACAGGTGTTTACCCCGAATGAGAAAAATCAATGGAATTAATTTCACTGAAACAGGAAAATCCGAACATACTACCAAAGCGTATGCATTTTGAAGGAAAAATTTTATATCTTAAGTGGTTGGATACAAGTTTCAACAATGTAGAAAGAAAAAAAAATTCATATACTTTAACTTTCGTATTTCGACTGATGGTTAATAAAGCGGAAGTATAGGATAAAATTCTTACCTACCAACTACAGCTTAAATTTTAGTTAGAGAAGAGAACGCAAAAGGAAAGAAAAGAGAACACATACGTATTCAAACACTTTATTGACACTCTTTCCCCCCCTCCCCCCAAACGATATGATTTTCGCAAACAAACAACATATCATCTTGAGAGCTACTATGATTTCAAGTCAAGACCAAGCTATATTATAATTTATGAGAGTATAAGCTTCAATTACTGGGAAGACTTAGCACACAACCGAGTGCAATGGCATTCTAGGATTCATACAGCCGACCCCACTTAGTGGGTATGTGGGACAAGGCATTGTTGTTGTTGTTGCTGCTGTATAAGCTTCGGTTTCCTTGTTCTTATGCCTTTGCTGTTCCCAAAGCTAGGATGGAATAGGATCAAGCTTTATCATTCTAATGAGAGATTCTCACGTGTAAATCTACAACTGTATTGAAAACGTACTAGTAGACGAATTCCTAGACCTTTTTTTACCAGATTCTATCATTTCACCGATCAAAAGAACAGGCTTATTCGGGCCTATCTTTTTATACGTACCCCAAGTCCCCAACGAAGCAAGACCAAGTTTACACAGCCATTCTTTCAATTCACCTAATCACTGGATGGTACATCTGTAGAGCGTAGGGTGAATCAAGGTCCAACCAATTGGGAGAGAATCAATAGGTTCCCCTTTTCGGGAGCGATTCATCCATCTAACAATCCTTTTTTCTCAACAGAACCCAACAAAACTAATTTTGTTACTACACTTCCTACTTTTTCTTGCTGTACTCATATACTCCACACACTCAATCAGAATTCTAAACTAACACACAAAACTCATAACTTAGAAATGCAAAACTCATAGCTTAGAAATGCAAAACATTCATCAAGTTCTAAGAGAAGAAACCCTAAACAGTAAGAAAACACAGCAATCAAAACTACCAGGAAAAAAGAGAGAGCAGGATTCAGAAAACACACCCATCAATGAAGCTTCAAGCAGGTGGGTCCTCCACAGAACCTGATCCATCGGCGACATAGTCCCAAGCTTCACACCTTTGTTCTGGATCTTCACAATGCTGATGAAGCTCGAGATTAAAATCACAGACATGGTCCCTGCAATCGTTTTTACAGTGGCTGGACCCTTGCCCATTTTTACCTGATCCAAGCTCTTTATCACCAGCTCCCTCAACGGCCCAATTTTCACCAGCATAAGGAACGCCACTACCCCCTCGGCGAAAAGCACTACGAACAACAGCTGAATCATCTTTATCTGCTTCCACCAAATGCTTTGGTTCTTTTTTGCTCGGCTTGTGATGGAATTGGAACCGCTTCTCAGAAAAGCAGCTTCATTTCTGAGCAGGAAGAGTCATAGATCCATGGACTTGAAAAAGCAACTTCCCGACACGACTGTAGCAATAAAAACTCACTGCAACAACAGCTTGCTGACCAAAAATCCGATTTTTCGATGATGGGTAATAATATTTGGAGGAAAATAGAAAACCCAGTTGCCAGAAGCTGGATTTATCGACAAAAATGCGGGTTTAAGGACACAGATCTATGCATTTTAGCGAAATGTACGAAAGGAAGAAGCTTTCAGCAGAAACCCAATTTGTTACTGTTGGTGACTTTTTATCTAACAGAGCGGTGTAATTTGGTTTATAAGCAAAAGTAAAGTGTTTTGCACAGTCAAAAGCGAATAACTTGAAGTGTAATTGAAGGCACAAAATAAAAATAAAACGAAAAATAAAAATATGGTTTTCTTATTTTCTTTGTTCCGTAGCTAGAATGTTGACTGTACTTGCTATTGTGGGTAGAAACTGTAACAGCTTGACTTTGACTGTTGAGAAGACTGAGAACTGAGAACTTCTTGCGACTGAAGCATAAACATCACAGGATGGTTGGTGGTTAATGACAAATTTTATACTTATATTTTACACGATACGTTTTGAATTTGATTTTTAACATGAATAAATAATAAAATAATAATTAGAAGAAGGCTAAAATACCTTAGCTGGTCCCCTTTTTGAGAAAAGCAAAACTAACCAATACTTTGACATGCAACCAAGCCACTATTTTGTCACATATATGATTTTTTTTGTGGTCTAAATTTGTCACATATATTGGTATTCCCTTGAAAATCCAAGAGAAGAGGGTCCATGTAGAAGTTTCGGTGGATTTGGACATGTCCATCACATTGTTAAAAGAGTAATAATATTCATATCACATTTTTATACCATCTTATGTGACATTTGATGTGGACAGTCACAATATTTGAAAAATTTGCAAAACACAAGGAAATGAAAGAGAAAGACTCCTCGTATACCACAATCATCATTTAATTAACTAATTTTTCTTAATTATTAGTTTATTAAATAATCAAGTAAATTTAAAAATATGATTAATTCAAATGATGTGGTTGTCTACACCAAAAATGTGGTACAAAAACATGGTATTAATAACATTACTCTTGTTGAAAATGTCCAATGGGCTATTCTATGCTGTGCCCACAAGCATTATACTGGGGTTCTTTGGTTACAATCATCCACATCACTTTTTCGATCCGAGATTCCAGACAGATCGTAAACATTTCAGTGCGACTGAATGACTTATTATTTGTCATTTTGATTTTTCTCGTCCTATGAGACTATGATATGACAACATTGTTCCTTTTGAAAAAAAAAATTTAAAAAAAAAAAAAAAAAACAACAACAACATTGTTCCTTGAAAATGTATAATATATTTCAACAATCATCTTAAGCATGTATGTATAGTATAATCGTATACAACAGGCTTTCTATACGAAGTGTATGAAGAAATATAACTAGAGGATTAATTAATTAAAGTAACGAGTGTTTTGTATTTAATACAAACTTCATAAGAGTGTCTACTTAATATTACTATCTAGTGGTATTCTTCTTTATTTGAAAACGAGAGATTTTAGGTTCGATTCTCACCAAAAACGAATTTGAACTACATTATTACTAGCTTATTGTGAGATTAAATCCAACTCATTTCCTCTTAATGTAGATAATATCGTTTGTTTAAAGAAAAGAAAAAACTCATAAGAGTCGGGAGATGGGAGAAAGAAAAGTCAATGAAAGATTGGTGTGCTTTTTCTATCATTCGGAAAAAGATTGGGCAATTATCTGGCCGTTATTCCAAAAGGCCATCCTTATGCAAAAGGCCTATACAATCATACAAAAGCTGCACCATTTATTATGTGGTTGGTCATTTAGTGCCAACCTATCTAAGGAGCAAAATTATCAACGTTAATCCAAATGACTCTAGTCACCTACAATACAAAGATGACAAATTTAGAGTGCGATAATGTATCGGTGTAGTGTTGTTTTTGTTGTTTTGAAGCCCACATTTAGTTTGATTCGTTAGTGTGGGTCTGAAGTGAATTTAAATCTATAAGTCTTATATACGAGAGATTTTTTAGTAAAGACTTTCGTGTTCTCTTTCATGTCCGTTCAAAGCGTACATGCAAGAATACTTTCTTGCATACTTTCTTCTCAGTCAGGCCTAGAATACTTACTTCTCTATAAAGCTGTTTTCTTTCAAGTTTTGAACCAGGTTTCTTCATGTCAACTTGGGCATTTGGTTTTGACAAGTTGAGTTTTGAATAAAGGCTTTATTCCTGCTATTTTTTTATAAAACAACCCAATTGTTAATTAAATTAAAACTTAATTAGTTGGCAAATTGGCCTTTCCAGAAGACGCATAAGTTCATAACCGTACCTAGTTAAGTATTATTTATACGATTTAAAGTTTATATAAGCAAAACTTAAGATACAAATTTAATTGTGTATTTTGTAGTACCAATATTTAATTTTGTATTTTAGAATGTAATTAAATTGGTAGTGCATAATGTCTGCTAAGCGCCAGCTACCACGAACGGTTTATGGACTTTGTCTTGGAAGAACTTTCTATGGGATTAAGCTTGTGCATCTCACCTCACGCTTAGCAACACATACTGTGTCAGCACATAGACAGTTGAGTTAGTGAAGAAAATTGAGGTTTTACTATAAAATTAACTCAATTTTCTTTACATAAAATCCGACATAGTCTTTTTACCTGAATAAAACTCAATGACTAGGATCCACATAAACAAATTCATTAATTCTATTTGCCTTTACACATTTTGCATTTTTTAGATGCCTAAAACATCCCTAATTACAGTTTTAATGTATACATTAAATTCTATGCAGATTTGAAGGGAGGGATTAATGAAAAAAAATGCATTAATGTTTAAAATCATTGCATATTAATATATCATAACAAATTGTATGTTAATGCTTCTTGGAACAAAAAAAAAGCACTAATGTTATACTTTCCTTAAGATTTTGTAATTGTCTTTCATAATTGCATAAAATTTGACAGTTTTAATTTGATCTTGTCATTTTCTTACCCAAATGAAAATCTGAAAGGGCACTATAAAATTTGTCCAGTAATAATACATGCAAAATATTTTACTTATAAAATTAAAGAAATGTTATTTGATTCAAAAGAAATTTATCTATATTTTATATAATAATATAGGTGAATCATTGCACAAATATATATTAAGAATAAAATGCGCCCAATATATATATATATATATATATATATATAAAATAATGCATGCAAATAATTCACCTACAAATAAAGGAAATTTGGTTAAAAATAATACATCTACTACTCTCAATTTTCCTTTTTTTTTTTTTTTTTGCAAACATAATGTACCTACAATATAATTTACCTATTGTTTAATCAAATAAAAAACATAACATATCTATTGTTTCATTTTAATGGTGATAATTAGTCTTGGTTTAGTTTTTACGAAATAATTTAGGCACTGTTTAACTTGATCAAAATTGACACACTCCGACCGAGATCAAGGCATGCTGGCCGTCACGTGAAGGTGATGTAGCCATGTGCACAGTGCAGAAGCAATAAGGATAAGAAATATACGAATAAATAAAAACCGAAAGCTATTAATGTGCACTAATAAGCAGAAAGTGCTAGGAGTGAGATACAAGAGTAAATACTCCTAATCAGAGCATAGAAAGTTTAGGTGTAGTTCAATAGGACAAGTACTAGTTATACAGTACCAAAAGATATCCTACGAATATTTTATTCTGTCAGAACCGCCGAGATCCTCAATGCCATCAACAGCAAGTCTACCTAAAACCTAGAGGGGTGCAAAACAGAAAACGTGAATGGGCAAAAACAAAGGTTTTGAGAACACATTTAACTTTCAAAATTCTCTACCCCCTCGCCGTAAAACATGTATACTTTTTCCCAGAAATAGAATATAAACATATACATATATATATATATCAATTCAAATCATGCTACACATATTCATAATCATAAGTATGCCATGCCAGCCAAGATATAAACAGGATAAGTAACTCAGATGAAAATAAATTCATGGAAAATAACACATTAGCCGGAACCCCTGCATAAGTCTGTACGGCTGAATTCATAGCTCATTAGTCAATCTAGTCGGAGTCATTGCAAATGACCTATACGGCACTACACTGCATACGAGTCGGAACCACTGTAATGGTATGTACGACAGGACTAGGTGTAATATAGTTATGCTCAATGCTACTCTCTCATGATAGTTGTGCAATAAATCGCTAGTCACCTACGAGTCGGAACCACTTATAATGGTATGTACAACAAGACTGTGCACCTAAATTGGATCCAATGTGAGCATAGGGTGCGGGATGTGACATTATATACGGGCATGTGCCTTATCTCTGGCTAATCACTAACACCGGGGTGCAGATTTATTAGCTCTATGCTTCTCAATTAATCACAACCGTTATTCACATTCACAATTCATAAACTCACCTGAGCTTACCTGAGCGTCCACAACACCACAATTATATATTATGCATCATATACTAATTCATATACTGAACATAAATTTATATGCATGGCATTTCAAGGCATACTTTCATTTAAACGTATTTTATGGGAAAATATCAAGTATATAAGTATATACTGAAAACCAAAAGCCCACTCACTGGTATGTCGAAGGGTCGTAGCCCCCGAGTCGCCCTTGACTGCGCTCGTCCTCGGGATAAGTCTCCCCTATATGCAAAACAACTATAAAAACGTTAATTTAAAGCACATATACTAGCTAATAACTTCTCATACATTGCTCAAATGAGGTATATAAATATACCATCAAGACCTACACAACTCCATGAACATCCCCATATTTTAAAAATAATTTTTGGAGCCCTCACACGCCGTCACGTGCCTGCAAAGGCACGGCCCTACACGCGGCCACGCGCAAGAACCCTAACGGAATCCCTTAACCCCGTTAGGAATATTCCGTTAAATAGTAACAGAAACCGTTAAACTAACCAACACCATATTCCGTCAAAGTTGACGGAATATTCCGTCATCCCCTACCTGCGAACTCCGGCGACCGTCGCCGTCGCCGGAAAACTGGGAATTTGAAAAACCTTGATATCTCAATCAATTTTCAACCAAATTCCATGAAACTTGAACCAAACTGAAGCTTAGGACGAATAGAACATAATATTACCAATTCCAAGCTCCAAAAATCAAGGGATCTCGCCAAAGAAAGCACGATAATTCCAGCCAAACTTCAAATGCATATATCTCGGTTTCTCGACGTCCA